AAACAACATAATAAAGAAGTTAGAAAAAAATCAAATTAACTTAAGGATAGGATAGTTGAAGTATTAAATTAATGATGTGGTTAGAATATAATGATTATAAAACAAAAGACTATTGAACCAACTAATTCAAAAGTTATTTCTTTGAAAAACAGAATAGCAATAAAATGCATACATTTCTGGCTAATAAAATCAAGATGGAAAGAAGAGGAAATATACAAAGTGAGGTAAATAAATCCAAATAACTAAAGAAACCATAGAAATTAAGCAGATCATTTAGGAACACTTTATCCAATGTCATAAAAATAAAATTTCAAATATATGGATGAAAATAACAATGTTATAGAAATGAGAAGTTCAATATGATAGCCACCAGCCACAAGTGAAAAATGAGCATTTAATATGTGACTAGTCTAAACTGAGATATGATATGTGTAAAGTGCACTCTGAATTTTGAAAATTTATAAAGCAAAAAATAGTATTAATTGATTCCATTATCAATTATGAAGGAATATTTTAGATATACTTTGTTAAATAAAATATTATTTAAAATAACTCTACCTGCTCTTCTTTTCACTTTTTAAATATGGAGTCTAGAAAAAATTTAAATTATATATATTGACCTTGTGTTATAGGTACATGTATATTTAAATTTTTTCTAGAAAAAAATATGACAAAATATGTTAAAGAGGTTAAATCCATGAAGGCAATCAAGTGGACACTGTATAAGTGAAAATATAATAGCTAAAATTAAGGTTTTGTTGCTTTTGAAAAGACTATATGCAGTAAAGATAAGATGAGAAACTCAAAAATAAATAAAAAGTAGAACAATATAAAGCATAGAAAGAAAAATGAAGGGAAAAGACAAAATAGAACATAAGTGATACATGAGATACTGTCAAAATGTCTAATTCCAAAAAAGAGAGGATAGAAAGGTAAGGGGAGAAGTAATACTTGAAGAGATGATGGACATGAATTTTCTGTCATTGATGAAAACAACAATTTATTAATCCAGAACTCAGTGAACCCCAAGGAAGATAAATAAGAAGTTGAATATCAAAGACACCTAAGATTGAGAGTAGAAGGAATGGAAATGTACATTATTTTCAGTGGAGCAATAGTAAAACTGATGACTTTTTCTACAGAAACCATGAAAGCCAGAAGACAATGGAATAAAAGAAAGAAAAAGAGGGAGAGGAAGGAAGGGGGAAGGAGGAGGAGAAGAAGAAGAAGAAGAACTAGAGTACTATATCCAAGAAAACATCCTTTAGGTATAAAAATAAAATCAAGATATAGTCAGTAAATCACTCAATACAAGCTATGATTATTTATGTCCAACTACCTGAAATACTTCAGATCATGTTTTTAAACTGTTTCCAGATAGAAGTATAGAGTTTTAAGAAGTAACAAAGTGGACTAGAAAGAATAAATATATCAAAAAATTTGTAAATGTTTGTTTTGAAGCAGAAATGGTGTCATATAAGCTTTATGATATCTCCACAAATAAAATATATAACAATATCCCAAAGTAGAGGAGAGAGTAAATGAATGTAAACTGTCATAAGGATATCATTTTATTAATGAAGTAGTAAAAGTAACTATTAAAGATAGGTTAGGGATACATCATAAAATCTTTAGAGCACTTACACAAAAAGTATATTTAAAAGCTGATACATGAGAAAATGAATAGAAAAAGTGCATGATTCATTCTTAACCAAGGTTGAAATTTGTTCTTTCTTAATTCTATTCATATATATTTTGAAATTATTTATTAGGTGCACTCAAATTTCAGATTCTTGGAATTTCTTGTTGAATTTATCACTTACATAATAAAACATCCCCTTTTCTCTCTAGCAGTATTTCTTGGCTTACATGTAGTTTTTTAATTTTGATATAGCCACACCAAATTTCATTTGGTTAATATTGCATAGTATAACTTTTTAATCCTTTAACATTTATCCTTTGTCCTTACATTTAATAAATGTTCACTATAAATAGAATCTGCTTAGCTTTCAAAGCTTTTTATTTGATCTAATAATTTTTATCTTTTAATTGGAATGTTTACATTTATATCCTGTATGTACACATATACATGTATATGTATAAATTCATGTATTTGTACACCTAAATAGATTTGTACCCATTGTGTACATTTAAGGTTTGTTCACTTTTATAAGTAAAATATTAGTAAGTACATTGGCAAGCCAGAATTCATCAGCAGGTAAAAATAGCAAAATGTTCCTTGGTCAAATGGGGATTATTTCAGGAATGCAAGGATGGCTCAGGGTTAGAAAATCTACTAATATAGTTAAATATTAATAATTATAAGGAGGAAAATTATGCATCACCTCCCACATTTTCAGACCAAATGCAACAAAATTTGGCAATCTGTTATTGATTTTTCATTATCAATAACAGAGATATTAACATTTCTGAACATTGTGTGTGTGTTTACCTGAAAACCCTGCATGTACTTAATCAAGAAATATAAAAATCTTTAACTTTAAGTGAGGAGTGAGATGAGTATTTGCTCACTATGTTAAGGCTATTTGATTTTGTACAGGAAGCAGTTAGAAAAAGATGAAAATTAAAGGTATGAAAATTGCAGGCGATTTGGTTTTATGCTTTGAAAACTAAAGAGAAACCAGTGAAAATTATTATAATTCTCAAGAGAATTCAATAAGCTATATAAAATTATATACAGAAATCCACAACTTTTATTTACACAAGCAAACTCAGATGATATAATGGGAAACTACTTTGCTTACAAAGCAATAAGAAGATATAATATTTAAAATTAACTTAAAAGAAACATACAAATCTATGTAAAGAAACTAAATACTTAGAACAATAGATTTGATAAATAAAAAGCCATGTTTTTTAATGGAAAAACAGCATCATAGAGATGTCGATTTCCCTTCCTTTATAAATATTATCACAGTGAAAATAGCAAAATAAAATTTTTTCTATACAAATTAGTCCAAATTTCACATGGAAAAATAAGAACAGCCCAAATAATTCCGATGAAGAAAATAAATGAAAAGGAATTGCTATGCCATGTATTAAAATATTTTTAAATCTTCAAAAATTAAAACATTGTAATTGTGAAATATGATTATCAGATTAACATATGGCACAGAATTGAGAATCCTGACACCCAAATGCGCTCAGAAGTTTTATTCAAAATAAAGGCCACATCTCAAATGTACATGGAAAAGTTAGACTGCCAGGAAGGGCTGTTGACAATCAACATTTTTGGATTTACTTTACATTTTGAGTAAAATGAATTCAAAATGTATGATTTATTTTAAAATGAGAGAATGCAGGAGACATTGATAACTATGGCTCAAAATCTAGAAGTTATAAAATATATGGTTGGCAGTTCCAGCTACATGAAAATTTAAAACTTCTGCATGGCCAAAAGCAAACCAAATTAAAACACACACACACACACACACACACACACACACACACACACACACACAAAACCTAAGTAAAATCAGTAAGAAAATAACAAAGTGAGAAATATGTGTAACACATCGGAATGAAGCGTTGACTTCCCCAGTATGTCAGTTTGCTTCTGCAAATACTTAATAATAATTATTGATAATTGCAAATAACTGATAAAATTAATAAGTCAAAAGGTTAACACATCCATAGGAAAATGAGCACAAATAGGGACAGTTTACAGGACATATGCATGGTTCTTAAATATATGAAAATATGCTCGACGTTAATCATGGTAACAAATATACAAATTCAAACCATATCGATTGCCAGAAATGGCAAAGGTGTCCAATCCATTGAATACCTCTGGAATCAGTTCTTGGCTTGCTCACACATTGCTCCTAGGGGCATCAACTGGAAGGTCCTTTGCCAGGGATGATCTGGCCACATCTGTCCCATGACAGATTTAGAGATGTATTTTTTACTTTCTTTCTTTCTTGATTTTCACTACTGAGAGTTGAGTCCACAGTGCACTGAGCTACAGCTCCAAACTGTTCTAATTTTTGACACAAGGTCTCGCTAAGTCACCAGCAAGGCTTCCTTGGAACTTTCCATGTTCTTGCCTCCAGAGTAGCTGGGATTAAAGGCAAGCACACACTGACCCAACTGTATTTGCCCTCTGACTCGGATATTTACTTCTGTTACACTGACTTTTGTTATTTACCCTGTGCCTGAGTACACTCGTGTGCTCTATGGAGAATTTTGCAAGGTAACCCACAGCAGCACTGTCTGAAAGCGAAAGATTGCCAACAAATGTCCAGCTATAGGGATTGTTCCGGCACAATGTTGACAGCAAACCTCAGTAAGAAAGAATGAAGGATGTGTCTGTGCTGTGGTGAGAAGCTCTCTGAGACACCTGTAACAAGGGAGGGAACGCTATATTGTGTTCTGCCAACCAAGTAGCAAAAGAATTAGGCATGGGGAAGAATACATTCTATTTGCTTCCATGTGAAGAAAAAGATGTTTCGAAGGATGGGCAGCAAATTCATCACTGTGGCTATTTCTGTAGGGGCGGGCAGGAACTAGGGAGGTAAGAAGGGATGATTTTCTCAGTGCAATGTTTTGATGATTTTTTTTTAAAGTGGGGCAGGTAAGATTTATTGATGAACTTGTTATGGGAGAAGGGAAACCTTCAGGAGTGCAAGGCCAACCACTTGTCCAGGGGACCGTGATTCGGGGTCTGTTTCACCCCAAAGCCATTGGGGATGAGGCACTTCTTGGCCACCGTGTCTTCAAATTCATCTGCACTGAACTTGGTAGAGCTCCACTTCTTAGAGATGTGGATCTCCTGGCTGCCAGGGAAATTGAACTTGGCCCTGCATGGGGCCTCGATCACATGTTCCTCATTCTGCAGCTTGGTGCAGATGGACATGATGACCTGTCCCACATGAACCCTCGCCACTGTGCCCTGGGGCTTCCCAACGGCACCCCGCATGCCTGTCTGGAGCTTAGGCTGGGGGCAACAGAAGGTCAAATACGGGAACATCTACCAAAAGCAGTGTCTTCACGTTCCCTCAGGGCAGCCCGTGCAAGCAACAGGCCACATCCTCTACTGAGCAGGTTGCTGTCTGCCACCACTGCACCCTGGACACCCATCAGCAGAGGAACCCAGTGGACTTCGCTGACTGAAGCTGATGATTTTTTTTTAAACTCCGCAATGCATTCATTACTTATTTGAAAAGTTAAATAAAAGCTTCAGGAAGGACAGCACAGACATTGTCTCCTCTCTGTCCCTCACACCCTCAGAGCAGCCTGGTTCCTGCCACAATGAGGAATGAGATGCTATACTGCCGTCTTGGCCTCAGAGCCTACAGTGGGCATGTCTGGGTCCCGGAAGGTTCTAGAACTTACTGAGGCCTGCCCAGTGAGGTCAAGGGTGACTCTAGAACCGGAAGTCTGGAGTTAGGGTGAAATCCCTGATTGCTGAATTGAGGAGGCAGGTGCCAGAGGTTAGACTGCCTCGTCAAGACAGACTAAGGGGCGCACCATAGCTGCATTGTAGACAGGCCAAGAGGGCACCCAAAGGCAGTGCCCTGAATGGCCAGGCCATTTGGCACTTCCTGAGCTGACTTCTAACTGCTGTATCCCTGGTCACCCCCTCAACTGGTAGGAGCTTAGAAGCTTTAGGCAGGATAACTAAACCCAGGGGAACTGGAGGCCTGGAATGGGAATTGGGACTCCAGAGCAGGAAACAGCTGCCCTCAGGCCTTGGCCTCAGCATCTTGACTGGCCGATTACAGAAGCGAGGCTGAGGCCTGCATGCCAGAGTCCATTTTTTAATCTCCCTCGGGAACATTCCAGACTGCAAGCAGCAGCCTCATTTATTTCTTCGTGAGGACTTTTATCACCCCATGGCTGGAGGAGTGTGCAGAGCGGCCCCTGCTGTGCCATGGCAATGCTCACTGGCCTGGGAGTGGCTGCCAGGAGCTGCAGGCCACCCTGGGCCTTTGTGGACAGGGCTATTAGCCACAAAACACTGTTTACTCAATTTGAGTTATTCTGTCAGTCCATTTTCACTGAGCATCTAATACAATCTCAGCACAAGCCCAGGCCACCCCTGGAGTCTCCAAAGCTCTAAGTTTCTTCCTGCCTCCAAGGACCCTACACACAACACAGCAAATGACAGAAAGGCTCTTATACTATTCACTAAGCACTGTTTGTTTGTTCATTTGTTCATTTATTTGAGATGGGGTCTTGTGACATAGCCCAGACTGGCCTGGAACTCACTGCAATCCTCAGCCTCAGCCTCCCGAATGCTGGAGTGACAGGCTTGCACCACCATGCCTGGCTACTAATTTCTCTTTAGGGCTAAATTTTATTTACAAGAATGCTGCAGCCTCCTCAAAGCCATGGATCTCTGTTATACTTCTTGATGTTCTCAGAGCTCCCGGCACAGCCTAGAACACAAGGCAAGTCTTGCAATAAATGCTCTCTGGTCACTTGCCAATTTCTAAGCTAAAAATAGAGATGCATTAGAATGAGGTCAGACCCAAGGTTATCGCTTCAGCCATGCCCTCCAACTGTCAGGAATACTCACCATAAAAGCCAGTCTGAGCAAGGCATAGCTAAGCATACCTGTCATCCCAGCAGTCCAGGAGGCTGAGGCAGGAGGCTCTCAAGTTCAAGCCTAGTCTGGGCAACTTAGCTTAGGGAGACCCTGTCTCAAAAGAAAAAATTTAAAGGGCTACGAATGTAGCTTAGCACAAAGGCCCTGGGTTCAATCCCCAGTACCACACTCATACACAGAGCAAGCCAGTCCATAAAGCAGCCTCAAGGTCCTACAAGCTCCCCCCAACCCTGACCCCACCACTGTTACCTCCAAGGACAATACTCACCTTCCTTTTCATCCAACAAGGAGGGTCACAGTCCCACCTCAGGCCCCTGGCACTAACAGGCACACCCCTGCCTTCTTGTCTCCTCTCGTCGGCACAAAGGCCACCCCACCCTCTCACCCAGCCTTCCTTGTCACCCTAGTAAAAATAGCTCCCAGCCTCCCATCCCCTATCTCTCTGTCTTTGTTTATTTTTCCCCATATCACACATCACTACCTTAAAATTCTACAGTTTTCCTGTGTAGTTTTCACCTGTTTCCCCTCATGAGAAGCTAAGTTTCCCAAGAACAGAGCTTTGGGGTTTTGTCCAGTGCTGCACCACTGTGTGTACAGCACAGCCTGGCACATAGTGGCTCAATACATAATGTCCTGAGCACGTAACTGTGCTGTGACTCTCGCTTCAAGTTACTCCAACTACAATGGCATAGATTATACATTGTCTATTCCTATGGATATAAAACCACTTTCTCCTACTTCTCTGTAGTTTCGTAGGTGTAGTTTCATTCATTGTAGTCTTATAGAATACTTTACTTGGTAAATAGAGCAGAAATTATAATGATACTCATTTCACAGAGGGGAAAACTAAGACTCCAAGAAAAGAGAGTGTTCTGGAATCTTCTGCTGGGTTCTGGCATCTAGATTTCTGCACGACTTTACTTAGGTGGGGGCAGAAAGGTCAGAGGGCTTCCCTTCCCTTCCGTCACATAGGAAACACTGACACCTCTGTAGGAAGTCAGATTGGCAAGGAAGAAGCACGCCTGATTGACTGAATTAAGTTTTACATGACTTGGGATCCTATAGAAATAAAGGCCCAAAGACTCCAGAAAAACTATTTTTATGCTTAGTTTTGTTGACCCAGGATAAAATAAACCCAATAAAAAGCAAAGAAAATTACATTTATTTGGGGCTAATTAGGATTGCGATCCAGGAAAATACAGATTGGAGCAGTCTTGAAAATGTGCTCTAGCTGGGGGTGGTGACCTGTGACCCCAATCCTCTGGGAGGCTAAGGCAAGAGGATCACAAGTTCCAGCCCAGCCTGATAACTTAGCTACTGAGTGAGACCCTATCTACAAAATGAAAGGGCTGAGGCTGCAGATCAGTGTCAAGGCCCTGGATTCAATCCACCATACTTCAACAGCAACAACAAGAAAAGAGAGAGAGAGAGAGAGAGAGAGAGAGAGAGAGAGAGAGAGAGAGAGAGAGGAGAGGAAGGAGAAGAGAGATCTAAACTGCAAGCGGATGACAGTTACACTGGAAATTCTGATTGATGCTAGCAGCAGGAATTGGGGACAGGTAGTTTGGAGGGAGAGGTTCATTGTACCAAAAGGCAGCAGGGGTTCCCAACGGTTCAAGTGTCATCTGGAATCAGTGGTGCACTGTCAGCAGCCCAGTTCAAAGGTCCCCACATACAGACAACGGCGCCCTGGCTCTAAGTACCCAGAACCACGCTGCTCCATTTTGATTCTTTTTTCCTTGACAGTTTCAGTGAAGGGTGGGCAGCCCTGTGGAAAGGTGAGTGCATGAGAGGGTTCAGCCTAAAGGTAAGAGGCTGGGGAACACCAGACTCGCCTGTTCAGATCCTTCTGGGCCTTTCTGGGCAGCATTCCCCGCTTCTGGGAATGGGTCAGATTCCCTTTGGGAGTGGGACTTTACAATCCACCATCGTACAGGGTAGGCGGGGGATTCCTCTTCACACAGAAAGGCAGCAGGAAGACTAGGGTCATACTTCCAGGTTTTCACGGCTGCACTGAAGGAGCAAGATTCTAGTTTCTGTGACTCCCCCTGGGGGAGAAAAGACGAGGGGCTCTGTAAAGGTACAAGATCCCAATGATAAATGTAACTGTACTGTATACTTAAAAAGTACCGATAAACTCAATGAAAAAAAAAATGGAAGAGGGGCAGGAGAAGGTTGGGAAGCAAGGGCTTCTTTGCTCCAGCTGCAAGCGCCCTCTCTGCTCTCGGTTACGTTTTCCTGAGCCTCCACCCTTTCCCCGGGACATTGGGACTGTTCCTCTTCTGTCCTAGGGATTCTTCCTGAATGGTACTACTCTGCTGCAAGTAGGAATACTCATATTTTTCCCTTCCTTTTCTTGACTCCCAGGGAGCTGCTCCCACCGCCCGCGACGCCTTACTCCAACTCCAAACCCAGAAGAAGCCAATGCCGTTTCCTTTTGGTTGAAAGTCTGTTGCACAGAGTTGCATTCTAAAAGTGCGACTGTGTTCTCGAGATCCTGTCACACCGCAAAGGACAGAAACGGGTCTAATGGGGATTTATTGGTATAATTCCGCAGGGTTAATAAAGACAGGGACTGGGCCCTCACTCCGGGGCCTGGAACGCTGGCTCCTGGCACCTCCCGGCCCCTGCCTGGGTAACTCTGGATCCCCTCCCCCACCCAGCACCCCGATCCTCCACTGGCACCTCCGCAGGCCCTGCACCCCGACTCCGGCCTGTTTCTTTGGGCTTGGTGGCTGCTCTGGGTTTCCTCCTCCTCTGCTAACCCAACGCTTTCCTCTCTAGGTCCCCGGTCGCCCTGAAAAGACAACCTAGTTCGAGAAGGGTAGATCTAGAAAGGTCTCCCCAAAAGTCCGGGGAGGAGCTTGGGGGGGTCAATCCCAGGCGCTATAGGACAGCTTGGGTGGCCAAGCCGGGGGCTGGTGGTTTATCACGCGCACACGTGCACACGCGCTCACACCCACGGCGGGGGGGCTACTGTCTGATGCGGTGCAGGCATCGTCTGCTTCTCTTTGGTCCCTGCCCCGTCCCGCCTCGCACAGAAGTGAGGAGAACAAGGGAAACGCCGAGCGGTGGCGTGGTGGGGCGGCCGAAGCCTCCGACGCCTGGAATTTTCCACCGCGCTTTGAGGCTGAGGTGCTGCGAGTCCCCAGGGCCCAAGGAGAGGGGGCGGAGATGAGATCAGCCGGGGAGTCCTCCTCCTCCTTCTTCTCCGCGGAGTTCCGATGGGTCAGCGGGGCCACGAAAGGGGACTGGAGAGAGGGTGGGGAGCCGATGGGGGGTCTGTCTTCTAACCCGGCTGGGCAGCGCCAGCCTACAGCGCAGAAAATAAAGGCTCCGGTAAGGAAGATGGGTGGGGGGCAGACCTTAGAATCTGCCTCTTGGGAGTAGAATTCCCCTTCCCCTAGAAACCACTGAAAAATGAGCTTCCCTGTGCGGTGCGAAAGCCCTGCCCCCTCCCTAGCGCCTCTGCACCTCCTTCCCCCCAGCTGGGCTGAGGCTGAGGCTGACTCTGCCGCCCTCTCGGCCTGGCCCTTGCATTTAACCCTTTAAGCCGCACTGCCA